GAGATTGGAATTTGGGAACAAATGTGGATGTTCTTTTAGGTTAATACTCATTCCTGCTTCCTTAGCAAGTTCGTCTGCAATTTCGTTACCGATGATGCCAGTGTGCGCTGGAACCCAACGCAACTGGGGCCTTAAGTCTGGTGAAATTTGAAGCAATTGTTTTTTTACTGCAAAAACGAGTGGGTTCCTGCCCTGGTACTGCCAACGGCTTCCAGACTTGAGCTCGAGTCGCTCAAAATTTCTACAGGTGCATTAAAGCCGGAACCACTACAGCGATCTGGGTAATAATAGGAAATATCAACCCAGATCGGCCCACCAGCGGCCGAGCGGTAAAGTCGCTGAACACTGGTAGTTCGGTCCGAGGTTCGAATCCCGCGAACGGGCTGGCTGCATGGGTGTTTTCGTGGTTTTCCCCATGTGTAACGTGTATACGAGCCAGTTTCCCTTAGAAAGTCATCCACGAAGGCATTCCTCCCCTTAGTCAGATAGCCCTAGTGTGATTTGCCAAAATTAAATACACCATAATAATAATCCACCCAGATCGGTACAGTGGTTAATGAAACTGGCTGTCATGTCCTTCCTTTCAAAGGTATAGTATATGTACAGCACCGAGCACTTAAAATACTCACGAGCCCAAAATCCTGTCGAGACGTGTGATAGGAAGAAAAGAATGGGAGACTCTCGGATCCGTCCCCCGGGGAGGTAATTAAGTAGTCTCTTCTGGTTTCTTTGGGCAACACTCTCGGAGATGGGATGTTCTAAAATGACCGATGATTGTCGGCCGTTCCCAAAGAATGCCCGAACACAAAGAAAGCTACAAGTGCCTAGTTATTTGGAATAGCAACAACATAGTTATGCTAATCCTTATGCTTAACAGTTATGCTTTGTATTTCATAGTTTGACTGTCGGGAATTTTTCTGCATTTACTAATACAGTAGTTTAGTTTATTATTGTTGATAAGAATTCAAATAAATTGAATTTAGGGATAGAAAAACGCTATGGAGATTATTATTCTGCAAGTTAAAAATTATCTTCCTGTTATTTCCTTTAGAACTAAAAACCGGTTTTGTTTAATGTATATATTTTTTTTCTTTCATTAAATATTCATTAAATTTACTGCGTTAATAACCAATGAATCGTGTACACATTAGCGTTTTAGAGTTATTTGAAAAACCTGTCTTTCCTCAGCCAGCCAAATTTAATATAAGAACTTAAATTTAAAAAAAACGAAGAACATTATGCTATAAATAAATATTAAATTCTACTAGTTTCTTAAAAATCTGAAAACTGGTTATATCTAATGTGCACATTTTAAAACAACTTATAGAATACTGACTAAATTCTTCGGAAATTTTTTTTTTTTTTTTTTTTGTTTGTTTGTTTTTTTGTTTCATAGAATTACAGAAAAGATTTGAAACTTGAGACTTCACTTATATATAAGCATATCATTATATATGCATATATATAACTGAAGTTCATATCATTAAAGTTCAATAAAAGCATTTACTGAAGCGAAACGGGATTGTCATAATTTAGACACATCTTGAACAGTAATATAAACTCACTGTAACCTGCGCGCTAAATTGTTAATCTTTTGGAGAAAATTTAGCAAATCCGTGTTTATGTTAGTTCTTAAAATAACAATTTCTTGTCCAGAAGAAGGGAAACTAATTATACTGCTTTTAATTTAAAATGATTGAGCAAAAATGTAAAAAATTTGAGCTTTTTGAACAAACAGTTTTTTTTTTTTTTTTTTTTTTTTTTTTTTTTTTTTTTTTGATTACGCTGAGAAAATAAAACTCAAGATTCATGAGATTTAATTACGTAGCTCACGTACTAAATTGAATTTGATTCTTACTAAAAAGTGTATTTGTTTAAACACTATAGTCTTAAATGTGTTTTTTCATTAAGCACAGGTTCCAAATTTTACTTTAATTGAAAACTCTTGCCTCCCAAACGATATGCTCGTTAGGAAAGCCTAATGCAGTTCCTAAGGGGTTGGGTTTTTATCCTGGAGAGGGCATGGATGTTTGTAAGTGTATAGTGTCTTTGCGGCATGGAGGTAGTCTAAATATATGGCGAGTCGAAAGTACTCTACTGTGGTTTGGATGGTAGGGAATAGGTGTGGGAAAATCTAGGACCCTTCTCGCCGGGGAGCTCTCCTTCGAATTTGTGAGCGGAGCTAAGCAAAGCTGTACTGTCATCCGTATGGCGCTGCTCAGTGTATTGTCAACGGCAGGCTCAGTATTGCACTCCTTGCCGTCATGAATTTCGTGGGGTTGTTTCGATGTTACTGTCAAACAAGCGAGACAAGTGAACAATAACACGAATATATTGTAAAATTTGTTAATTAAAATGTTTTCGTTAATCAATCAGTTAACCATTTAGTTCCCTGTTTTTTCACTTCTGTACTTTCTATTTTTCAGCCCACTTTGACCAGAAGTCGCATAATTAGTCCAAAGGGGCTTTATCCTTGAAAGACTACTTTTTTCGTTTTGCGATTTTGCTTTGAATCACTATAAATGGCCGTTTCACTTTTAAAACTGTTGCCACCGAATGTTAGAGTCCTGCATTATATTTGAAGAAATTAAATAATGAAAATTCTGCATAAATGTATGTCTATTTCTCGCCTTGTGATAAAACAACGGTACATAGAGCCATCGAATTTTGAATGACATAATCCTCCTACGAATATGGGCATGTGGAAGACCAAATTTTAAATTTTGAATTTATTTTATTATCAATTTCATATTTTGTAAAACTTTAACAAATTTTTATTAACAAACTCAAAGATTTCAAAACGAGCAATGGCAATACTGTACGGGGGGGAAACCTTTTTATCTCCAGCGCGCGGATCTGTGTAACGGAAATTCTAGAGATATGCTCATTTTAAAATTATTTTGCGACATTGCTATTTTATAGTTTAAGTTCAGAGAACATGATATTTAATAAATAAAGGTAACGCACAAAACGTTAAAAAAACGCCCCTTTGGACGTAATTTAAAATCTGAAACCTGCAGATTTTCCTTTCCCCCCCCCCAAGTTTAAATGGCTATATTTAGAGATTAAGGGTAGGCAACTGTTGACACAGAGACTTAGAAACTCGTTAAATTGCGCGTTGCTGTTTATCATCCTGGAAGAATCAAAGCTTGTTGTACCCTCTGTTAAAACCAGTCTTAGAGGGATGAGAGGCCCCCCCCTGGGCTGCTGTTCTTCAAAATTGAGGTGAAATCAGAAGTCCAACCTCTTTGAGGTTCTAGCAACATTCCTCCATGAATTACATGGACAAGACAGCAACAACATTGAGAACTGTTAATGAAAGTGACTTTTTTTCCCGTTGGTGTTACTGTTATTCTTCAGTGAAGGCCTCGGAGTTTCGAGATGAAAGAATTTTTCTTTCAGGATCTGGACTCGGATTCGAAAAAATGTAGAACTGTTTCCAACAGTAATATTATATTAATGCAAAAGGTATTTACATTGTTTGCATTACATTAATAATTAAGCATTATCTTGTTCTTGCTGTGGTTGTTTTGTCCATGAATTTCATAGAAGAATGGTTGACAGAGCGTCAAAGAGGTTGTATTTCTATTTCCTCCCCAACTTTCAGGGAGAACATCCTGGGGGGGATGTCCGAAGGTCTCCCACCCCTCTCTTCTTCCACCAAACCACATGAGAGGACTTTCGACTTGCAGTGTATTTAGAGTGCCGCGAAGACACTATACGTTTAAAAACATCATGCTTTCTTCAGGATTCAAACTTGGGCCCTTCGGTACCGCAGTAGGATCCCCTAACCACTATAGCATGTAGACAGCAAATATTACCTTAATGATTGGGAAAGCATAATTTATAAATTAAAAAATATGCACTGTTTAAAACATTCATAATAATTACAAAAGTATGTATCCATATTAATTTCAAGCATTGAAGATAATTTACAATGTTATTTTCCTTTTAACTCTTCTTCAGAAATTTCAGAATCGGAATCAGAAATTTCTTTTCTTCTGATTCTTATCTTCTCTCTTTCTCTCTCTACATTGCGTTTTATCTTCATTTCTGCGTCTGTAAATCAGAAAGAAAGAAGTATTTGTGACATTTTCGGAGCTAGGATTTTTTTTTCTTTGTTTGCCATTTCCGGATCGTACAATAATGATTGAGCCAGTTTGAAATACGTAACTCCGCAAGAGAGAGAATTTTTTACATCATTATGAGAATTTATGGACCTAGATCCATACCCATAACAGTTCTTGGCTATTTTGGATCTCCTTTGGGAAAGCGAATGCAATGGAAATAAATGTTTATGAGTTTTGAGTAGCAAGAAAATATAATGTGAACTATCTTCTGACGATTGATATACATTTTCTCTAAGATAAACAACAACAGCTTACTCAAAGTTAAAGATACTTGATGTCATGATTTAAGAACGATCTTTCTTCGGAATTTAGTTTCTATCCTTGGAAATTCTAACATCATTTTTAAAGATCAAAGATTTTCTAGCTGGTGAAAAGGAAAAATATAAAAACTATTGAAATTAGTGACTATTTTCCCGAAACTCGAGAAATTCTGAACTCATATTAAATTTTTAAAGAAACCAAAAGTGGGATTAAAGTCAGAGTAACATAAGTAAATTTGCAGAATATAATTTAGGCTTAAGTACAAGTTTCCTTTTCTACTACAGCTGAGAAAATGAAAACGACATCGGAGAAATATACGCTTAGAAGAGAAAACGGGAAGAGAACTCGAAAAGGTTCTAGCTAAATGATAGAAAACAAATCCATGTATTTATCAAAACATGGACAAAAGCAAGCAGAAAATAATTTCTTGAAAGGTTAATAATAGGAGCATCGCTTAGCAAAAATCAACAGATTTTTATGGATCTGAAACTCTTCTGAGAAATCTAACTCGCGAATCGAAGATTTATTTTAAATAATTCTGGCTACAGAGAAGCTGAAAATATGATCATTTAACCAGCAATAATGGACAATGGATTTGTAACCATTTTTTATTCCACAGCTAAAGAAAAATTGATTTCAAATTGACAGTTCTGTAAATTTACTCATATTACATCAATTCTTGTTTCTCATTATTAGTTTCTTCAGCATTTTGATTTACATAACAATTATTTCTTTCTTAATTCTGCATTTCCTTATGAACATTCTCGAGATTCTGAAAAAAAAAAAGAATAAATTGCTTAGTTAAAAGCATACCTATTAAAAAAACTTGTGAAAAGGATACACAAATTTTAAGCAGGTAATATTAGTTACTTTTACATTTATTTTTCTAAATTACTTTTTAATGAATCAATAAGTTTTAGTTATATTAATAAAGGCTTCAATTACAAACTTTAATCTTTTATTAAAACAGCATTTCTCTTATATATATGAAACTATTTTAATAACTGCTAAATAAGTCCTTTGTTTGGGCATAAAAATTCTACTGTAGTGATATCTTTGACAGCAAACTAGAGTTTTTCGCTCAATAGAAGAAATACCTTTTGTATAGGACCCTTTTTTAAGAGAAACTAGCTTATATTTCCGTTACATATGAAGCAAGTGAAAAGAAAACACCTACATAATCAGCTTATTCGCCTGGATTACGGGAAAACAGTTACTATTTTTCAGTTTTATCTTCTCAACTGTTGTTGGGTTTTAAATTTTAAAAATAAGGATAATAATCTCATTTGACATTGGCGTTTATTTTGCAAAATAGGCAATTTCTATGTTTACGAATTGAAGATTTTCTTCCCTCGACGCTCCGGAGGCTACAAAAACAAAAATTCGTCGTAATGGAAGCCTGTAGCAACAGGATATTTAACGACGTTTAATTATTTTTAAATTTAACAGGAAATCATACTGCATTAAATTTGAAAATTTAAATATAAATTTTAGTCCGTTCTTAGTCAGCTGCTTCTTCCCAAATTTATTCGATTACCACATTCGGTTGTACTTCTTAAGATAATGAGTTAGCTGTTAATGATTAATCCCTGTCAAAAATATTGAACATGGTTTGGTTTATAATGGTTTATTTAATTATCGCAAAGTACGTGAGGGCTTATCTGCCTAAGGAAGGGATGCCTTCGTGGAGGACTTTCTAAAGAAAACTGACTTGAATACACGTTATGCATGGAGAAAACCACAAAAATGTCCATGTAGCCATCTCATTCGCCTAGAATCGAACCCATGTCGGAAATACTAGTGTTCAGGGATTTTACCGCTCGGCCGCTGGTGGGTCCAATATTGAACATGAATGTGTAATCAATAATTTAATTTTTGGATTGTTCAGCATCCGTCCCACATTTTGTTTTAATTACAGTAGGCTCTGCCTAATGTAATCACGTTTTCCGTTGCTGTTTGGATATCATTAAATGATGAAAAGAAATATTCCTGAAAATATCAATGGAATTTAACTAATTAAATGTAAATATAATTAGAAAGATATAAATATTTATTTCCACAGCATTTTAAATAGGAAATAATCTTTAATTGTTGGATAATTATTATTATTTGTAGATTGTCTGCAATTATGACGCAAAAGTATATTTCTGAACCATTCAAATTCAAAAGTTTCTCGAAATCATTTGACGGATGTTGTACCTTTAATGTTAACACTCGGAGAGCATTTCTTATTTAGGACGTGTGCGAAAAGTCACCAATTTCATCATCCTGTTCTTCAGGAAGTTCATCTAATGCTGTGTTTGGATTTGTTTCAGAAAGTGGTGCTGTAGTTAGAATATTTTCATTAACATCCATCCAGTTCTTAAATTCTTCGCAATTTAAATTAGCTGGAGACGTAATTCATTTCTTTGGTGAATCTTTACATTATGGTAACTTGACGATTTTTGGCGAAAATTTGGCGACCAACGCTGCTACAGCAACCTGCTAGTTTTGTTTTTGGACGCCATTTTGTTTTCACGAAGTAAAGGCATGTTCTTTTTTTTTTTTACTCAACATTTTTTCCAACAATCTGCTAGCCGAATTATGCTTATACTAGAACTTTTATGGAACAAAAATGCTTAATCAGGACGAAGATTAGGTGCGAAATCGGGAGAAAGTGCAGAATCGCAAACTGCTTCCCGCGTTTTTAAGAATTTCACATACACGGTATCCATGTACACGTCGACCTATTTTCACTTAAACAAACATCCCAGAATTGCACAAAAATGGCATTGCACACACTCTTGACTTTATCTATGTACACATCGACCTATTTTCACTTAAAAAGTCAAAGACAATTGACAAAAATCCAATTTTTCTTACTCTTGTAAAAGCGCCAAACAAATAAGTGGACGATTCTGCACTTTAGCAGCGAAATTGTTTCTAAGTGCTTATTAGCTAAAATCACGATCGGAATTTTCCATGTCACACATTACATGTCTCATGATCTCTCATTTCTCTGAGACAAAATAATCTGTGATTGAACTGTGTACTTCTCAGATTATTGCTAAAGTCCTAGCTAGTAACCTTTATCGCCTTACCAAAATGTCGCCAAACTATCTGTTACCATATCCTCAAGATTAGCCATTTCTTTTTCAATTTCATTGATTAAACGATTATCATGCTCAAAACAGACTTTTATTGTCTTTTCTGGAACGCGGTTCCAAGACATATTCAGCAAGAGCTACGCATCAAGAAGGTTACTTTTCGTGGATAATTCGTTTGCACCTCTGTCAGTAACACCAGCTTTCATCTCACAGCCATAATATTATTCCATCATTCTAATAATCCCTTATATATATATATAATCTTGGATTATATGTTTTAATTATGACTGTGATGTTTGTTTGTAAATGTACAACTTAATTTGCTTATTGAAGACTTTTACATTATGTGGCGGGCAGCTGTCAGTAAGGAGAAGGATATTATTCTTCGGTTCTCTAATCACATTTCCGAAGCTAGCTATTTAAAATTATTGATGTCATTCGCACCTTTGAATTACATACATAATCTACTATCAAAGTCATATGTACTTTAAAGCATCATGAACTTTTCATTTTCGGAGTATTAAGCTCTTTGTTTTTTCACTTTCTTGCACTTTTAAAGAACTTTAATCCAACAACTTTAATTAAATCAATTTTCATTTTAAAATTTTCTTTTAATTATTATTTCAAGAATTAACAACCGTCTATGTAAAATTTAGATAAATGGCTCGGTTGAAAATTCTTCAGATTCTTATTGAAAAGAGACTGAGGAATTCTAAACAACGTTTTTCATATTAACTTTATTACGGTTCATTAAAGATATTATGTTATTCTATTGAATTTTGTTTGTTTAAGTTTTTTTCAACTGTTTTGGTTTCAATTTTGAAGTGTGCAATAAGGACTGGATGATTGATCCTTTTCTTAATTTAATTTGTGATTTAATTAATTCTTGGTTATGGTATGCATGTGTGAGCGACTCTATTTGTGCATATATATGTTACGGTGAAACACCGAAATCTGGAGAATGTCGACTTTCACCTGTGAATGTCAACATTCACATAGTCTCTTGGTGTATGTCCGAAATATTTTCCAAATACTATTATTTCTGACTTACACCGGTCAATGTCGACATTCACCATGTACTAATAGTGAATGTTGAACATATAACAATATTATACTTTCTTCTCCGTAATTCAGTCGCGAATCAACGCACTTGAAACTTGAAATAAGAACTTAAGAACATAAGAACCTAAACACACAATACATTCAAAATGAGAAAGGAAAATAATAGAAGTTAAAAACTTACTTAATTATACAGTACGTTCCAAATAAGAAAATAAAAGAACAGTAATAAAAAACTTACTAAATTATGGGATTCAAATCTTATTTATTGCAACAACTTAAACTATTATGGCACTTTATGACCTCTCTTTTCGACTTTCACCAGAGCATATCTGTGATTGTCGATATACACCGGTGAGGGTCCGAATATGCAAGAATGTAGTGAAATATTCGGTCTTTCACCGACATATTTGATGAATGTTGATATTCTCCGGTGAAAGTCGACATTCTCCAATTTCGGTCTTTCACGGTAACATATACATTAATACACACTGATGTGAAAGCTAGTGCTTTTGCAATAAAAAAATATTAATACGTACCAGATGCAGATTCCACTATAACCAGACTAAACTTGAGAAAAAAATCAAGTTTTCTTCCGGAAGTTATCATTTGTGTTGCTTGAAGCGATGCAGAGATGAGAGTACATAATCTGAAATACGTGCACGCAAACTCATACATACACATAATATACATGGCGTATCAGTACAGTGGTGAACTTTCAGGGAAGATAGAGTACACCTAGACGATGGGAAATCACATAGCAATGCATGGTCGGAAATGCTTTCCTGTCGTGGGTAAAGACGACACAAATCACAAGAAAGGAAGGATACGAACAAGGTCAGGAAACATGTATGTTTATTGTGCTTAATACAGTAGAAACCAAGAAATGAGAACAAAAAACAGACAACGATCGTTATCAAAGAAGTGCTTGAAATTACGACCCGGACTGCGATGCAGGCGTCATATCTCCAGTGCATGGAAGATGTATAACATACGGTTCCTGCATCATGGTCCGGTCATTTTGAGCACCTTCTTTGATAAAGATTGACGTCTGTTTTTGTTCTTATTTCTTGGCTTGGTTTCTGCTGTACTAAGCATAATAAGCATATTTCCTCACCTTGTTCGTGTTCTTCCTTTCTTGTGATTTGTGTAGTCACCACCGCGACAGGAAAGCGTTTCCATCCATGTATTGTTAAGTGATTTACCATAGTCTAAGTGTACTCTATCTCCCTTGAAAGTTTGTCACCGCTGTACTGATACATCCTGTACACAGCTATTAGTACAAAAGAAATTATTTTTTAAAAACAGATTCTTTTATCTGTGCAAAAATGTAAGAGCAGTTAAACCTTTGCTTGTTAAATGAAAATGAAAAACATAATTAAGCCTGAAATGTAGCATATACTTCTAAAGTACTACTATTATATATGTACATATATCCTATTGGGCTAATTTAAACTTTCACGGTACATGTTAACATTAGGATTAAAACTACTATGCATTGCATAAACTCTAATAAACGACATATGCTGAGCTATAAACAAGCAGCTTAAAATAAGTAAAATAGTGAGCGTTAATAAGTTAAGTACATTAGAAAAGTAATTTTATTCAGATACAGTACAAGATTTGAGTACGAATACCTAAATCTGCATAGGTCCCAGAATAAATTTTGTACTAAAGTTACGCTGTAAACATCTGAAAGAGAGCTTTAACTGCATAAATATAAAATAATAATTTTGCACTATGACCTAACTATATTAGAATAATTACTATATTAGAATCTGCATGGAGCAAACCCTCATTACTAGAAAGCTAATCACTGTTACCCATTACATATGATATGGACACGTTACCTACATACATTGCATATAGTACCTGTGTATTACGTACTCTAATACTAACAATAATAGACCATAAAATACATCAACTAAATAAAATAATGCAAAATTATACTAAAAACACTAGACACTTTTTAAGGCCTAGCGTGCAAACCGCTGTAGTCTGCAGAGCTTGTAATATGTCTTCCAGGTTAAAGACTGTGCAAGTTAAATAAGAGTTAAGGTTGTACGGAAGATGAGATGTTCTAAACTAAGCTATGCTCTAGAAATGGCATTGTTAACGTGCGTTAGCTACGAGACCAGTTATGCACTTTGTGAATGCTGTCTTCGTGCGCCGTAATGTAATTTATGGCACTGTAGTATATTACTGCCTTCGGTTTCCACTGAACAACACTGTTATTCTGTAGATTTTGAAATCAGATTGAACAGAATCTGTAATCCTGGCTGCCTGTGGCTATTAAACGCTGTGTTTGGGGAGCGTGTAATGGTCTGGATGACCTGGTTCCCACACTCATAGTTTATCTCCTTTCTGAGGCCAAACAGGAAGATGTACGGAAAAAAGGATCCATTAGCTAGAAGGAAATAAATTATGTAGTTACTCTAAGTTTGGGTTCTTGTCTTAACCTTAGGAATGAATTTGCATCCTGGTGATAAGCGAAGGTACTTATTAGTGATTAACGACTAACCTACTAGTGGTTAATGGCACTACCAATTGTACTGATGGGCCCGGGTTGGAATCCCGGATTACTGTATGGATATTTATAGAAATATAGTGTCTGTGAGGTAAAGAGGCACTTTAAATACACTTGGAGACTACACGTTTCTTGATTGGTTGGTGGTAAGGTTGTAAGGTTTATCCTGCGTTACCTAACATTTAATTTTTAGTTAAAGTTACTTTCCTGTCCATTCTTAATTTCAGCTAACTTCCGGCAGAACGCATTTTCAGAATCGCGGTCAAATGCAAATGAGGAGAACAAGTATTTAAAGTTCTTCGTTAGAGAGCTAGATAGTCTAAGCAGCGCACTTTCGCCTTTTCGGCAATTCTCTCTCTCTCTCTCTCTTAAGCTATTATTATGCTGGGCCGTACTTTAGGCCTTTGATAGCTTCTCCGTTAGTTAGCGTTAAGGGTCCAACTATGTTAGAATCTTGATAACTTCGGCTATATCTTTTTAGTTAAGTTTTACTTCTTAGTATTCCTGAGTTCACGCACAAGTGGAGGCTTTGTTGTAAACTCCAAGAAGGAGTCGATTGAAATTTATTTTGAATAATAAAGGATAATTAAACCTTCGCACGTTTACGTTTCTATCTCTCTGAACTAAGCTATTATTCGCATACCACTTCTTAAGTTCCACACAGTTAGCAGTAAATAACTCAAAGGTTGGAATCTTACAAAGTAAAGAGGGTTGGGAGTCTTTCAGACCGCCCCCGGGATGTTCTCTATCATAACTGAGGCAGAGCTAAATATCTAAGAAAGCCTGGTGATACCTTATATACCTTCAGGATTGTACAGTTGCCGATCTTGTTTCAACGTGGTCATGGAAATCCAAATAACTACAGAATGGATGTCTGTGACGGGCGAAATGTACCTTGCGCAGAGAATCTGTGACCTGTGACAAAACATTTCGATAGTTAAAGTTTAATTTCATATACCCATATAAATATGTGCCAAATAAATTGCTTGTTAAAATCATTTATAACAAAATAATTCTTTATAATTTACTTTGTAGCATAACAATAAGACAATACAAGACTGCTGATGAACGACCCGGCGAATTATCTCTAACTCTGCAGAGTTTTGCGTGCATTTGCGCTTAGAATATCCTGCTATATTAACCACCTTCTTTCTCTTACTAAATCTCCGTTCTCGGAGGGTCAGTATTATTAGACTATTTTGTGAACCTCTTCTAAATAGAGAATTCTGCCCAAACACGGTATTAAATGCCATCTCTAGAGATGTCTCCTATCCCTAAAAGCCACTAATAATGAGTATAACTTCTAGAAAAGTTAAGTCACCAGCCACCTACATTTAACGACTATTAAAAGTCCAGCAGAAATTATCACCCGTGCAGGTTCATTATGCATGAGAGGAAGAACACAGAATCAAGTTGCTTAACTGTTATTCACTGCGATAATGAGCTTGGGAGAGGTTGAACAATTGGGAGAAGGGTCGCACTGAACACTGATCAACGCACAGACGTAAATAAATTGGAGTGTCTGTCATTCCTAGATGCGCTTTTCCGGGCGGATCTACAATGACGTTAATTGGACAGTTTAAATCTCAATTGGCTTTAATGGCAAATGGGCTTCAGATTTCAAAGTGTACATTGATTCAACATTCAGTCGCATATGAGGCTGGTGACGTTTTACTGTGACAGAGTGCTGTAGAGAAAGCTGGTGTTAGTATCGCTCTCTAAATGCGAAGAGGAGTGAGGTTTTAATGAGTACTTAGTGTGCAGTCTTTCAGGGGAAAAGTTGCGAATAAAGGGAAGTTCTGGGCGGAATGAACATGGATTTAAATGTTATGGACTGTCTTATAAAAACTGTTTTGTTACGCAATCGCAAAAAAGGAGCTCTGAAGGAAGTTTTCAGATAATAGATCAAAAATGCTTCAATAAAAATTTATTACTGGTTACTGAGGTATTTTTAAATTTTATTCTTCGTAAATTGTTGGTTTTTATCTACCACAGTAAAGCTGGTTTACGTAAAATAACGTCCAACTGTTTGTTAATCAAACACAATAGTTTTTGAGGTGGACTTCACTTATATTTAAAATGTATTCCTTTATATGTTTTCATAAACAAACACACACAAAAAAGAGTTCTGAAAGCTTTCAGATGTTATGTTACGACCAAAGGGGCGTTTTTTTCACCGAGGGATTTAAAAAGGGATTTGAAAAGAGATACAGTCATCCAAAGACATTCCATAAAAATACCATTAGACACTGTAACGTCTTTGCGTTGCTATGCTACCAAAATAATACAAGTAAGAAATGTAAAGAAACCTCGAGCATAAAATGTACGTCTTTGAAGATGCACACGATGTTAATGTTAATGGATGCTTTGAAATAGTTGAGTTTGTTAATCAAACATTCGTTAACGTTTTACAAAATATGAAATAAATAATAGCCCAAATTCCAAATTTGGGCTTCGAGATGCCCATATTCGAGTGGAGGACTACCTTATTCAAACTTTTATAGATCTAGGTATCGTTGTTTTTTGTGTAATGCGAGAAACATATGTACATTCATGCAGATTCTTCATTATTTAATGTCTTTAAATATAATGCTGGGCTCTAATATTTGGTGGCAACAATTTGAAAAGGGATTCAGACTTTTATATTGAACCAAAGCAAAATGCCAAAAAGAAAAATAATAGCGCTTCTAGGCTGATTCTCATTTGCGCTAACAAATCATATACTAAATGTGTTTCCGGTTTCAAGAAATTACTTCTGAAATCAACATAAAAAGATTAAGAAAACATTGCTTTAATCAAACGTTTTCACGAATTAAATTCCCCTTTGTAAAGTAAATGAATGAGCACTAACTGCAATTGTTGTCATCATGACCAATTTCAGAATGTAACGACGTTTATATTTCGTAACTGTTAAGTCCGATTGTTTTGAGAAAGTTCAGTCCGTTTCATAAGGTAAATAATATCTCTTCAGGAAAAAATATATTACTCAAAAGCATTGGTTTGTTTCTAGCAAATTTATAGTGCTAAGAGTATTTTTAATTTATCCTCATTTCGTGCTTGGATAAGGATTTAAAAATCACCCAAACTATTTACCGTCTGGAAACTTATCTTTGGTACTGTCG